AACAAATAGAAGAGAATGGTGGTTTATGGATGAAGGAAGAAGAAATGGAGACTGCGTTAGCTTCATTGTCAACGCAAAAGAAGAAAAAAGAAGCATTGAAGTTGCAGATTAATTTCCAAAATAAAGTTCTTAAAGAAAAGCACAGCAGAAAAGATGTATTCAAATTTTCTCATAATGGAAGGCAGTTCTCAGTTGCTGAATTGAAACTGAATTTGTTGCTTCTTATGGGAGTCAGTGAAGGAAGCAACAATCAGTTGTCACAAGTGACACTTAATCCTGAACTTCTCGTTGGAAAGAAGATAAAACATTGTTTTGAAGTTGGAGAAGAGCTCGTATGGTACACTGGAACTGTTTTGAGTATGAATCCTGAGACAATGGAGTTTGAAGTGCAGTATGATGATGAAGACAATGTATGTTTTTTTACGTTACTAGATGATATTTCTAGTGGTGACTTGGTGTTATTGTAAACTAAATATTATCACTCATTAATAATGACATTCCTTATCATTAATACTCATAATTTTCTCATATCACTTTTGCAGATTTTAAAAGCAATTTTCATTTGAGACATGCTTTTACTCTTTATGTCTATTATAGCTCTCTTATCAGTAATGTATATATACATGTATGTTTTCTCTCTCTGTTATTAGTTTTCAATTAGTACAATCCCCTCCCCTATATTATCATTATCATTTTTTAAAATTAAAATTTCAATAATAACAATAACTTTTTTGATAATTTCATTTCCTTTTAACACATTGCATCAAAAATCTAGCACTTGTAGCCCCTCAGTAGATTGCATTGTTGTTATTTTCTGAATGTGAGGGATGTTATTCATACTATCCAAGTATTCTTGGATTACTTCTTTATTCGAAACCAGCTTCACTGGTCCAGATATCAGTTCTTTCCGTCCTTCTGGCAACTTGTGCTCAAAAAGAACTTTCATTTGATTGTTAACTAGCCACACACAATGAATTCTATCAGCTACGTAACACTATAAAAATAATGGAAACAGAACAAGGAATTAGAATTGAAACCATTAAAATTTTGAAATATATTGTTATCATTCGATGGCAATGGTTTGGAGCATAATATGAGTACAAGTAGTTGTAGTCATTTTCACTAGCTGTAGGTGAGCTGAACAACCATGAGTGCAATATCCACCCATGAACTATTGTATAATGGTATACTAGAGGTAATAGGGAGTTTAAACTACATGGGATAGATAGACAAACAAAACCACAGCAGTGAGTTAACCAGTTATCAGCTGCCATTTTTAATTTTGCATGTAACTAACTAGGAATGCACTAATATGGAAGAATATTCAATTTCAAAATGTGGTGTCACATACACTAAGCATGGTATCATTATAATTATAAAGTAACAAGGAGTTCATGTTCAATTAGATGGGCATTAATTAGAGTAAAGAATATGTATTTTATGCATAACTACAAACATTACAAGAACAAGTTTATTAACTCTAACCTCCTACGAGACTACTAACCTCCTGGGACATGATCAGGCGTGTATACTTCTAAGTTCAGTTGAAGCCGTGCCTGGGTAGGGTCAGTCCAGCATCTAAATGTACCAAAGACACTGATGATCAAAATGTACCTATAAAAATAAGGTAGTTGTACTATTTAAGTATTTCAAACAATTTGAGATGACTAAAAAACTAAAGAAAATGAATAGGAAAGTCAAACTTACAGACTTTTGGCAGCTTCCTATGCTAGCTCGTGTGATGAACTGATTATTAATAATTGTGCCACCACGCCCTATCTAGTTATCAATAAATTATTAAGAGAATTTACTTTAGAGAAACTTGTTTTTTTCTCGAATTCTG